CGCAAACTATCGCGTGCGACAGTGTCGCATAGCCAGCGACAACTAGCGCTGGATAGCGACAACTAGCGCTGGATGGCGACAACTAGCGCTGGATGGCGACAACTAGCGCTGGATAGCGACAATTATCGAACATATATATTTTGCGCTGGCCAGCGTTATCCAGCGCTGGATAGCGACAACTAGCGCTGGATGGCGACAACTAGCGCTGGATAGCGCTAGTTGTCGCCATCCAGCGCTAGTTGTCGCGTTTTGACTATCGCAAAAGAACCCAAAATTCCACTTCAAAACTTATTATATATATTAAGGTCATCAGGCAATTCTACGTTAATTCTGAAAATTTCATGAAAAAATATTTAGGGGGGGGGGGGGGGGGGGATAGGTCTTGATTACGTTTGATTACGGAGGGTGGGGGGGGGGGAGGGGGTGAAAATTGCAAAAATATTGATTACGTAATATGTGAACGACCTCTTAGTTAGTTTGAGCTCAAAGAGAGGCCCCTACGACGTTCAGAAGCCGAGATAGAAAAGTCATATATTTGCGCCTGGGGGTAATAAGTAATTTAGACGTTTTGCACCCTAGGGTTGAAACTACTAATAGAATTTGCGTACCTTATCAATTCTGATGCAGAATGACCCTACAAAGGATCATGTGTTTATAAACGTTGTAGACACTGAACTTCATACTTAATTTCACTTAATTTCTAGAGTAGATGTTTTACTCGCGCCCAAGTAAAAAACAGTTTTTCTGAATTTTTTCCAAAAATAAGCATTTTGGGCTTTCATGACCTTTACAGTGCCAATATTAACATGTGTATTGCGGTCATTTTAAACTCAATTTTGAGTCTCTAAGACCGGACCTTCAGAAGCTCATATACAAATTTCCCATATATGCGCCTGATATGAAATATGGGCGTGGCTCCACAGGGTTGGGACTAGCGACACAACATGCGGCCCTCGGTGATTTGAGTTACCAATGACCTATTTAACCATATCCAGTAGCAAAAAACTCTATACATCGAAGTGCACACTCAACTCCTCTATGCTACTGGAGTAATTAGAGATATTATTATATAAAATTGGCATAAAATTAATAACTTTTTCTTACTGAATATTCTGTTTAGCTGTATTTAAGGTACGGATAGTTAAAAAAATGTTTTCAACGTCTGGCATGGGTTCTTCGATAATATTTTGATATTCATCAGGGCCCGTTTTATTTATCAGGGCCCCTCTATTTATTAGGGTCCGTTCAATTTACCATGACCTGTCAAACGTTATGCTTACATAACACAAGGTATCCTTTTAGCAAGTCAAGACAAATATGAATATCTGCCAGGTATTGCTGATACCCCTTCTCATCATGGGAACCACAGCCGGTGTTGAAGGTAGGATCACGTTCTACAGTATACCCATTTCATTGTAATCTATTGCATTGTAATCTATTGCATAGTATAGAGCATGTGAAGCTAATTTGCTTCAAGGCTCTTACTCATTCTGCATTCATCCTATCAACACCTGCCGCTTTCATTTTACAGCTAAGTAGTAATCGAACAATAGATAAACATACGTGACGTCACATAACAGAGCTACTATCAAGTGATACCACACAGGTTGGATAGCAATAACACGTGGTGAGAAGATAAACTGGGACCTAGAATCCTTCCCAATAGAGATAAAGACTGACAGTGAGCTGCTGAGTATGGATCAAGTAATGTTGTCCTTCTACTCTGTTCAGGGAGCCGATGCAGGAAGAATCAACATTTACTTCGCTAGAACAGCTCGGTACCAACTCTACTGGTGTAAAAAGTGGACTAACTTCCCGACAAACTTCCCCTCTGCTTCAGATAAGGTATGGAGGATCACTCTCACCAGAATATCAGGAATGAGAGCAGTAGTGATACATTGCAACGGAGTGAAACTGGTCGACACACAACTATCAGACTCAACGTGTGGTGACACTACCTGGAGCTCGTACTGGAACAACGACGTTGCTCAGATACAGTTCTCCCTCCATGACAAGGCATCGGATGGCTACAGATTAGGTACCAAATGGTTTTTAAATATCTTATTCAACAAAGGTAGTTATCTGATCATTACATTCCCTAATGATTTAGATAATAACTAAATGGCTGCGAATAATAATAACAACATTAATCAATATCCATATCAGTCGGCTGCACTGGACTGAAAGCTGAGTGGACAAGTACGATCACAACGATGACACAGTTCCCAGTAGCTCGAGAAACTGCAGTGAAAGTGACTTGCTGGAGCTCAAAAGCTCTCAACAAAGGGAGCAGTGAAGTGACCTGCAAATCTGGCAATCATTTTGCTTACTTACAAGAACCGTCCTGTTCAACTTCAAAGCCCGGTAATTTTATACGCTTAGCCATTTTAGTTGAGAGACCGGGTTAGTTTTGGAAATTGACTACCGAATTGTTTTGAGGTCTGATTCAAAATTTTGATCAATAATATAATTATAAGGTCGAAATATGGGTAAAATTTTGGCATACAATATGGGTATGACAAACCCAAAACCTTGGAGGACTTCGCCGCGCCGCGCAAACTAGAATTTTTTCTTCGACAAGCAACGATCTGATCGATGGGTTGACATTGTCAATCAATTCAAACCAGAACAAGTTATCAATACAATTAACATAGATATCACTTTGGTCCCAATTATAAGACATGAAAAATACAGTCGTCGTACCTTATGGCCACAATGACAAAGATGTGTATTTTTAGTACTACCAGTACCATATATCTTCTGACGCATTTGTTCTCCTTAAAAGATAGTTTAAATTTATTTCCACAAAGACCTTGAGGGGTGATCATAAGGATTTTCAGATCAAAATGTTGTAGTAAAACTAAAATAAATTTCAAATTGTAACCAGTTATTTCAATTAAATCTTTAAGTTTAACGGGTGATACTCGTAAAATATTTGTTCCGTCGACGAGTCCAACTCGGCGCGCGTCCTGGTAGGTTGTAAACCTTCAACTAAATCTATTCGGAAAAGTCGTATCAGAGAATCAGAAATGGCAAGACCAAAGACGGGAACAGCTTCTCACTAGACCTTCCTTCTTCAAGGGAACCATCTACTTAGGACGTCCGGCATATTGATATAAGGAGGGGGTGGTTTTGGAATCTCGGACAAATCCTTAACGGGTGATACTCGTTAAATATCTGTTCCATATACAGGACCGTCGACGAGTCCAACTCGGCGCGCGTCCTGGTAGGTTGTAAACCTACAAACAAATCCGGACAGGGGGAGCCGGAGGCGAGGGGGTGGCTTCTTGAAATTTTGGCAGAATCAACAAAAAAGTCCTATTTATTTCAACTTTTTCACTTTGACACTAATTACTCTGTAAGTTTAGATCCCTGTATTTTGAACGAGTACTTAAACGGGACTTTTACCGGTGGCGATAGTTTGTAGTTAAGCATTAAGCAAGTTGAAATTAGACATTTACATGATTTAATGTCATCTTATCTGGCGTCATTTAGCGTGGCCGTGAGATGTCGCCTCATGATGATAAATGACGAATTTCAACTATCGCCATCGGTAAAACACAGTTTATTAACGCAATGCAATGAATTTGAGTCGGTTTTATTTGTACTTTTAAAAATAACTGGAAATCCGGAGGTCCGGGGGAGGTTTTGAAAATTCGGACAAATCCGGACAGGTTTCTAAAAATCTGCGATTTTGGCAAACGTCCTAAGTAGATGGCCCCTGAGAAAGTAGTCTAGATTGGTGTATTTTTGGATCCTGGATCCCAATCCCCCCCCCCCCCCCCCATGACGTAGGGTAAAAATGCTTCCCTGAAGGGTGGAGTTATGCAGGGCAAAAAACTATTTTAGCCACGTGACAGGCTAGTAAAACATTAACGGGTGATACTCTTAAAATATCTGTTCCATATATTGGACCGTCGACGAGTCCAACTCGGCGCGCGTCCTGGTACTGGTAGGTTGTATTTGTAAACTTACAAGTAAAACACGAATTCGATTGTTCAGGGCTCGGGTTGTGATTTGAATTATGGACAGCTTCGGGTCATGGTTATGATAAGGGCCTGCCCACACTACGTGCCTGTTGGCGACGGGGCACATGGCCCGAGTCTAGGCCCGCCACCTAAGCACACTGTGCCACTTGGCGTGAGTAGTCACGCCATGTGGCTCACCTGGGGACCCCAGGCTATTATGTTCATAAACATAAAGATTCGGCGGAATGCCAGGCTGAGCGCCGCCCAGTAACATGTGGCCCGTCTATCTAAACACACTACGCCTGTTGGCGTGTTCATGATTCACGATGTCAATCCTTCGCAGCTCGGTGAGGCGCAGTGGTGCATCTCGCCGATCTACCGTTGGTTGCGAGACGAATTATTTGATGCGCGGCGCGACCCAGTAGTGCATCGCGCTACAAGTTGGCGTGAAAACATGTTCCAGGCACGTCACCTGCGCAATGTATTATTATTTTTTAACCCATTTTGATTGGCTGACAGGACGATGACGTCACAAATATTCACGCCAAAAGGAGCTCGTTGCGTGACTCCGGTGACTTGTGGCGGGGCTTCTGGACACACTGTGACTTTTGGCCCACGATCGCCAACAGGCGTAGTGTGGGCAGGCCCTACGGGTTTATGTAGGGGTCTGCCCGTCTGCCCACACTACGCCATGTGGCGACGGGCACATGGCCCGATTCACCTAAACACACTGTGCCACTTTCCCCTTGCTAAATCCACGCCAAGTGGTACAGTGTGTTTAGAGGACGGGCCACATGGCGTGGCTACTCACGCCAAGTGGCACAGTGTGTTCAGCCTTAGGTGAATCGGGCCATGTGGCCCGTCGCCACATGGCGTAGTGTGGGCAGACCCTTAGGCCTTATACCATTTTCTTCGGCTGCGAACCAGTAAAAACCCAAGACACGTGATAGTTTTTGGGCGAGCGAGTTAGTAGAACTACCTAGTTATAAACAGTGCCCGGATAGCAGAGAAGACAAAAGAAAACAAACTATATTTAAATTCGAACATAAAATTTGAATTATTGCTATCAGTAAGATGGTAATAAGATTATGAATTAGGAAAAAATAAAATGCTATACTTTTGTAAAGAAGAATCATTAAAAAAGATTGAAGCGAACAGCTGACAAGTTGGTATAGAAGTCATCCCACGTCACTACACACGTGACCTAGATGTTCATCTTTAAAAAAACCATCGCGGCAAATTATTCTCAGATCACTGAAATTTGGACCGGTCACCCCACACCCAGCGTCAAGTATAAGTTTCGAGAAGGCAAGGGACGAGGGTCATCTTGCTCTATTTCTCAATCAATCTTGAGAAAGTTAACAAGATAAGTGCGCGCGTTGGACGGGTGTGGAATCTTCTTCTCTATTCGATGACAATCGGAGCATGGTCTTCTGCAGCTTGCAAAGTCGTCTTCTTCTCATCTGCGCAGTCAATTTGGTGAGAAAAGCTTCATGAGCTCATTTCGTGTGCTGATAGTACTGCCAATAGAAAAACAATATAATCGATTGACGAACAGTAACATTTTGACATTGAACACGCATGATTTCATATGATTACAATCACTTTCATTTCTTCATTAAAATTTTATTGGTTAACAATTATTGAACCACATGATAAAAAGTGCTCCAACGATAACAAAGGATCATATAATAGTGGAATTAGTAGATAAGATTCCGTCACACTTACTCACTGGACTGCTGCTGTTGTTGTTGCTGTTGTTGTTGTTGTTGTTGCTGCTGTTGCTGTTGTTGTTGATGTTGCTGTTGCTGTTGCTGTTGTTGTTGTTGTTGTTGTTGTTGTTGTTGTTGTTGTTGTTGTTGAGCGGCTTGCTGTTGCTCGAGAACATTCTTAAGAATGTTGGCTGTAGTACTTACGATGTCATGTCCACCCGGAGACGCTGAAGATGAGAAAATGAGCCAAATTTAATACTCTCATGTCAAGAACTTTCGGAGTATTAGAGAACGTTTAGAGTACTGTTAAAGAAAAACTATAAGAGTATGAGTATTGTTATTATATCTGTATCATCATGACAACTCAATCATATAAAAATGACGATGATGTATCTTCAATCTGCAAACTCAGATTGAAGACACAACGCCCAGTAATTAATAATAAATCCAACAATTAGGACAACGTATGAAGTGTCAATGTTATGTAAACTATGCACTTACACGACTGTGAGTTGGATTGTTTCTGAATAACACCAGCAATGTTGTTGTTGAGTACAATGTTGGGGGTGCTGGTTGCAGCACTCTGGGGACGGATTAGTCCCAAGTGTGCCGCTTGGCTTCTTATGATACTCTGTAGCCTGATGAACAACTTTTGTTAGACTTTTCTAAGACGTTTTAGTAACTTAATGCGTCAGATAATCTAATTTAATCATTAAGTCTAACATTCCGACGTTAGTTTTACTTTCAAAGTTGGAAAATATCGTTGAGACTAAGTCAGGTAAGAAAATTAGACTAGAGTCCTGAAAATGAGACGAAGTACTGTATCAGTTACCTGTTAGCCATGAGATCACTTGGTTTCTGGCTGGGGGATGAACTGGAGCTCTTGGCCACGGCTGCTGCTGCCACTGCTGCTTGCTGTTGTTGCTGCTGCAGGAACACGTTTTGTAGCTGCTGCGAGAGTAACTAGGATTGAGATATGGGTGTTAGTATCACCATTTTGGGTACCGGTAATACCTTCTTTACACCCAGTATACGGGTGTTAGTGACACCATTTTGGGTACCAGTAACACCTTCTTTACACCCAGTATACGGGTGTTAGTATCACCATTTTGGGTACCAGTAACACCTTCTTAACACCAAGTATATGGATGTTAGTGACACCATTTTGGGTACAAGTAACACCTTCTTTACACCCAGTATGCGGGTGTTGTGTCCATTTTGGGTACCAGTAACACTTTCTTAACACCTAGTATATGGGTGTTAGTGACACCATTTTGGGTACCAGTAACACCTTCTTAACACCCAGTATATGGGTGTTAGTGACATTATTTTGGGTACCAGTAACACCTTCTTAACACCTAGTATACGGGTGTTAGTGACACCATTTTGGGGACAAGTAGCACCTTCTTAACACCCAGTATATGGGTGTTGTCACCATTTTGGGGACAAGTAACACCTTCTTAACACTATCTTAAGAATGAAAATAAAAATAACATGATTATAAAATAATCAGGTAAAATATAAATGTGAACATAAGATAACCTGTTGCTGCTGTATGGCCTGGTGTTGTTTGAGAGCAGCCTGTAAATGCTGGGTTAGGGGGGACAGTATTGTGTTGTTGTTCTTCAGCTGATTTGACAAAGCTGCAGAGTTGGACAGGGGCTTTGGTTGGATCTTCATTCCTGAGACAGTTGGGATAAGGTTCATGATTCTTTAATTAACAATTTACATGGCTATATTTAGGGCCTGGCGGTTGTTGTTGTTGGGAAAACTACAATTTATTTGATTGAAGGTTGATCATCAGAAAACATTGAAGACCGTTGAAATGAAAGACAAAGAAATTAATTGCAGGAGATTGAGTGTTTTCTATTAGGATTACCTGGCGTAACACTGGAGCCAATGTTAGTGCTAGTTGGCGGGGAGGAGTACACGATGGGAGGAGCAGGGTTGACTCCAGGTATTATAGCTGCGGCACTCTTCTCTCCATTCTCCAGGTTCCTGGCTGCTAACAGTCTGTTCAGTATGTTCCTCTCTGTCATCTGGAGCCGTTCTGTGACTGTCGGGATCTTACTCATGGCAACTGGCAACCTGGTAGGGCACTTGTTAAGCAAATTGTTTAAAATCAAATTTTGGTTATTACTTATTGGCATGGATTTCATATTGTATCTTGTTTGTTAAAATCGGCAGGATGGAAAAATTTATCTAATTTATGTAAAAGGAATATTAGATACACTCAAAAACTCAACTATCTAAATCTTCAAACTATTTCCTGGACTAAGTTAAATTGAACCACTAGAATGGCAGATAAATATCTTAAAGAAACTTTGTCTGGCTGATAACGTCAGAAGGAGTACACAACAAACCTGTTAACATCGTTCTTCATTTCAGCGAGTATATCCTCCAACTGACTGAGTACCTTCCTCAACACGCTGTTAGCAGGTCGGTTACCAGCCAAACTCTCTCTAGCTAAATGCTGGTGAGACTCGGCAAGGCACTCCAACTCAGCAGCTCTGGTGAGAAGATGGGGTTATTGTTTTCATTATTCTGTTATATTACATATTTACATGTCATGAAATTCGAACAACAACAAACGACCAACATCGCGATTAGATTTGTGTGAATGACAGTAAAAAAATGATAATTTTAATTTTTTAAATGAGGATGTCATTGTTGTTGGAGAGTGTGGTTATTTTGTGTGGTTATGTTTGAAGGCGCTGGGGGATGATTTGAGTACTTTTTCACAATTATAAACTTCAATCTCACGACGCAGGAATAGTTTTAACTTAGGTTTTGAAATGCAATCTGAACATAAATCAACATAAAAACACATCATAACATGCAATGTATGGGCAGGATCAGTGTACACACCGCAGTAGAACCTCTTTTAAAAATGTTGAAATTACAATTAAGTTAACAAATTATAGGGGAGGAAATCTCCTATTTGAATCTTTGTGTTCTTATCGGGTTTGTTACTTTTCCTGTCCATGATCTTCATAAACAATAAATTAAAAGCATTAATAAACAACACATAATTTATCAATTGTAAAACAATTAACGTTAAAAACACTGCCTCGACAGCCGACAGTTACACAGACGAGATGCTGACAGAAAAAGCCAGTTTGGAGTTAAGACGTTTTGACTACTTGGAAAAGGACGGTATGTAAATGTACAAAATATTAGACGGAAGACGTGGTTGGGATATATAAAATGTAACAAAATTGAACGCGTGTCCGGATAAAATATTTGCAACATGACTTGTTGATGGTTTAAAAGCTTTAAACTCTCAGCTAAGCGTGGCTAAGAACTGTGTCAGCGTGGCTGTAATAGGCAGTGCACTAATAATAATATAATCAGTAATCAGCAGATTGTGAATGAAGTTTTATATACCAAATCTCTTCGTAATGCTGTAGGAAATAATTTAAACCCACCCACATATTTAAATTCAATACAACGTTTTTATATAATCATTTTAATAGTTTAAACCTATTTGAACCTCCTTTCAAACGTGAAATAAAAATCAAAGAGCTTATGCATGACCAAAAACTGACCAAAAACTAGGTGATAAAAAAGCAGCACTAAACGAACAATTGTAAAGCCCCTGATGATTATTAACTAAAGCACTAAGGTCTACAACACTAACTGCTGTTGTCCTGAGCACTTATCAAAACAGATAACTGCTGCAACATCTCGGGGTTCTTCTGGAGCAAGCTCATGAGCTGTTGGTTTTTGTTCGGGACTGTGGAAGAGGCAGCTGAAGAGGACGATGAGGTCGAAGGCTTCTCCTGCTGGAAAAAAGAATTGGCGTAACGCTTACGCGATTATCTAATTTAAAATTTCGAACAAAAATGGAATTTATATGTTTCTAAAGCCGAAGGGAAGTTCCTGACATTCAATGAGTAAACCTGAGGCTGGAGTATCTGATGTACAAGAGGCGTCTGTAAAGCTGACAATTGTTGGTAGTGAGCCAAAAGGAACTGTTGTCTCAGTACTTGTTGCTGCTGCAATAAGGCGTTTGCTAAGGCAGCGTCGTGTGAAGATGCTGCATCACGTGACGTCATCACATTGTCACGTGACGTCATCATATTATCACGTGAAGCTATCACGTTATCGCGTGACGTCATTATATTATTCCGTGGAATCAGTGCAGATTCATGAGCGGGCATAGCTTCTCGCAGGACAGCATCCGGATTTCTTTTAGACTTGTTGGCGCCTGGAAACAATTGTTTCTAGAGTATCTATCAGATTTCAATTGGAAATTATACCAATGCACGTGTCACTTTCTTCATTCATCTGGACAGATTTAGCATTTTTCCTCATTACATACCTTATATATAACAAAAGATCAAATCAATATAATATAGACAACTATAAACAATAAAATAACAGCAGTACTCTAGGCTATTCGCACTTCATCATATTAATTGCGAAAATTGTAGTTTGTCGTAATTTCAAAGTTTTAATGGTATAAACTGACAAGCTGTGAGAAAGACTCACCGCAGATGCTGGAGAGAGCTGATAAACTGGATACTGAAGAGTTTGTTGTACCCAGGAGGGAGTTAGCCAGCACAGCAGTCAGGTCAGCTGGTTTGTTGGCAACTCTGTCCGTCGCCGGAAATCGTTCAACTCTAGCAGAATCTGGTCCTATAACTGAGGGAAATATTTCTGATCAAAACGAATCATACGGGAATTCTATCCGCATAGCCATTTTGGGGTGCGGGCAGTTGAATCAAGGGTTGATAAAGCCATTTCATTTGCCCTTAATTAATTGGCGAAAGTATCCATATTTCAGCAACGTTGATGTGACTATGTTCAGTTGAGTCAGAAGGCTCGATAATTAATAAGCGAAAGAAATTGTCTACATCACTGCGCACCTTTCGTACAATATTATATAGTGGAATTTGACACCTACAATATATGTTGGGTAACTTTAATTCAACTTTAAAGGATGTCATCCCTTTGATTATGCCAAATAAGATAATCGAGTGTTACATGAAAGTTACGAGAAAAAGAGTCAAGATATATTCAAATATCTGACTGACGATAGATTTATATTTTCAAAGATAAAACAATAGGTACTAACTACATATTTGACATACCAAAATCGGGCCTATAATCTTGAACTTTATCCTTGGATTTGTTGGACTTCGAAGACGTTTTATTTGATCTTTGATCTTTTCTCAAGTCGCTGAAATTACCAATATTAGATGACGCATGAAATGACAAAATGTATTAAATTATCGGTTTAGAAGAAGGTTCAGGATTCAGCTGAAAAAATAAAACAGAAGACTAATAAGAATAAGAAAAAGAAGGCCCCAAATATAATATTTGCTCGCTCCTTGCAGCAGCAGCGTGAAGTGTGACGTCACACACACTCGGTTACAATAACAATGCATCTTTATAGATCACGTGACGTCATTAGTAATATCACGTGACGTCATTGGGACGTCACATTTCACGCAACAGCAGTTAACAAAGCGCACAAATAAAATACTTGGGGCCCAGGAAACAACGAACCATACCTCGTAAATATCCGGCCACGTGCTCGCCTTGCTTCGGGGGAGATCATAAACATGTTGCCTTGGAGACCGTTTCTCGTGCAAATATCCAGCTCGTCCTTTTTCTTGGGCCCCAAACCATGTTACCATAGCAACATGAACAGTTACTATAACAACATTAAGCGACAAGGAACGAGCAAATATAATGGACTGGAACGAGAAAAAAAGGCCCGGTACAACTTATAAACCATCAGCACAATTGGTCAACAGGCCAATACAGCGACAACTTCAGCTCCTTTGGTTTTCATAAACGGGCGATTTTTAATACATCTAGAGTTGACAATTTAATCTAATATGTAATATCTATTAATAGTGAGGTGAAGGCTGGTGAAACATGAAATGATTTTAAGATACTGAAATGAATTTGAAATGATAAACAATAAACTTAACCAACTTTTATGATCATCGCGTCCTATAAATGTTTGAAGTACTAATAAGCACCAACAGATGTTTGGTGCTTACAAACAGAGCCATCCCTACCTGGCGTTCAAACTCATGACGGGATGGTTTGGGTTCTGTTGTATTCCCAGCTCTACTGCTCGGTTCACTTGAGCTTCAGCGACCAGCGCTTGTTCCAGTAGTTTAAACCGACGTGACATGAACTTTATCTTGTCTACAACTTCTCCGCTTACTGTTGAAGTTGTGTTAGTTGTCGTATATTGATCACATGTAAATCGAACAACTTCATAACAAAATTAAATTTATTTAACAACAGAACACGATAGAAAATAAACGTGATGTCTTTTATGACTTTTTAAGGATAATTTGTATTTTTATTACTTTCAAGCCTGCGATCTCCTCCAAATGGCTCGTTTAGGATGTTGAACCTCAAATCGTTAATGATATCCTGCCATCTGCCATATCCGTGGTAAATGACTCCTACCAGTAACCTGAACACGTGACTCTAGTTAGAATATCAGGTTAAATAGATGGATTACCTGATAACAACCTGATATCTGCGAAGCTAATAAACCATTCTAAAAAGCAAGCTTTCAGTTGACGAGGAAAAAGAAGATAACAATAAATTAACCACAATTTATTGAATTTTAAGCTAACCAGTAGTCGTGAAGTCTGGACCAGATGGAAGTGTTGCCTGAAAAGTGCTCCTCGCGCCAGATGTTGTGCAACTCTGTGAAACCTCTATCACAGATATTGAACACGAACTGATAAAAAGTGTGGTTAACTTTTATCAAGCGAGTTTTATGCCAAAGGTCACAAAAATATATAACAAATAGTGGGGGTGTTTTCATGAGGTTCTAAAAGTATTCGCGTGGTAAAAGTGAGTTAAATATCAGATTGATAACGAATTAAATAAAATATTCATACCTTCTTCTTGGGAGACTCTTCAACTTGTGAAGGAGCAGCTTGCTCAGCAGGTGCTTCAGCCTTCTGTTCTGTCTCTGCTTCTGCTGCTGCTTTATCTTCTTTCTTCTCTTCGTCATTTTTCTCCTCCACTATCTCTGTCTCAGCTTTCTTTTCCTCTCCGTTGGGTAGCTGGACAGAAATTTGATTCAACATCTAATAAAGAAGATCGTAAAAAGTGGAAGTCCTAATTTATTCGCTCGAAACCATCTACAAATAAACTTGAGACTGAATTAAACCTTGATAAGTAATCCAGCTGTTATGATAAATGGTTGTTATTTAAGTCTCGAATAAGAAACACTCTTAAACTGAATGAGTAACATATCCGGGTAACAAACCTCTTCATTTTCCTTCGTTTCTGCCGCTGGTTCAGATGTTTCTTCACTAGGCTTCTCTTCTGATTTCTCTTCTGTTTCCATGAGCTCCACTTTCTCTTCTTTATTTTCTCCCTCTTTTTCAACGACCGGCTCTGTCTCCTCTTCTTCTCGTCTTCTGGTTTGTCTTCACTTGCCGTCTCCATTTTCTCTTCTGTCTTCTCTTCATCCTTGCTCTCCTCTTTGCTCTCACCCTCAAGCTCAGCTGGTTTCTCAGTCTCAGTGGAACCCTCAGGTTTGCTCTCTGATTGGTCGGTTTCAGCAGTCTCTTCTGAGTTAACAGGTTTCTCCGGTTCTACAGTTGTGGGGTCCACTGCAGCTGGAGCAATTTGTTGTGTATCGGGGACAGGTTGAGGCGTGCCAGGGGCGACTAGTGGCATACCTGGCGCCTGGATCGAGGGGTGAGTGTGGGATGTGGTTACACCGTCTGGAGATCCTGGTCTGGATGGGAGGTCACCGTTAATGTGAGCATACTCGTTAACTTTACGTCGGATGAGACCCATAACTCCGATCCTGGCTAGGACCTGTTGTCGGGGGAGTCCTTCCTTTGGTACACCGTCAGCAAAGTAATGGCTGTTACCATTATCTGGCTCACACAAATGTCGCATGAAGAGTGAAACGTACGCGTTAAATTCCTTTTCAGACTTGTTCTTCAGGTCCCTTGGTCGCCAGTTGGTGTGGTAGGCATCAGAGAGTGGCATGCCGTATCTCATGACAGCGTTCAAGAAAGATCTCCTCTGTCGAGAGTTGAACCCCAGAACCTCGAGCTGTCCGCCAACCCGAGCGAGTAAGGGCGGTAAGGCAGCCTCGTTGGGTTTGATGGGGAAGGACGCACCACGTCTCATCTTCTTTCTTGGACCACTTTCCTCATCACTGAAGTCGTTGTCGTCCTGGTCATCAAATTCGTCCTCGTCCTTCTTGGTACTAAGAGACTCCAGACCCTCGGTGTAGTAGTTGACAGCCTTCCTGATCCTCTTGCCCTTACCCATCTTGGCGTACTCTCCTTCTTGGTGCTGCTCATAATGGTGTCTCAGCAGTTTCTCCCAGTAACTCGGATCGTCCATTGTGAACTCGTCCGATATTATCTCCTTCTCCGGCTCCTTAATCTCCTCTTTCACCTCCTCGACGACTTCTTCGACCTTTTTAACAGAATAGCTAGCCACTTTGAAGGTGGAGAAGTAGTCGTCGAGTAACTGTTCTTTGCTCTCTACGGATCCCTTCTGTTCTCTGTCCAGAAGTTGCTCAACCATTTCATCAGGATACTCGATCAGTTCATCCTCTTGTTTGTCTTCAACTCCTCCGAACAGATTCTTACTACCGAACCTGGGTTATAGGGGGTTAGAGAGTTTTATTTAACAAATATTACGAGTAAATCAACAGTCGAGTACTTCAGATTATAGCCGCTGCTAAAAAAAGTAAAATATGAAACGTATTATTAGATATTCTAGAAAAATGTATGACGGAGTGTTAACTCATATAAATATGTAAAACAGCGGGGGAGGTACTAAGACGATGGTTTAGCAGGGTCCCGACTGTTACAACAAAACTTACTTCAAGATAGAGTCGAGTTCAGTTTTGGAGAGAGTTGCTGCACCCATACCGGGTCTGACGACCAGATGTGTCAACATCATCTTGTGTTTAGCGACCTGGAGGAAGTTGTCATTATGTCAAGCCAGAATGTAACACTGGCTATCAGGTGTTGAAATTATCATGTATAACATTTACCGTATTATATCGGAGTAGGTCGTGCAGTAGGTTAAGAAGTGCAGATTAAAGGATCGTGCTGAGAAAAGTAAATACCTGAGTGATCTTCTCCTCGATACTCTTCCTGGTGACGAATCTGTAGATCATGACTTTGTTGAACTGTCCTATTCTGTGAGCTCTGGAGAGAGCCTGGATGTCGTTGTGAGGATTCCAGTCAGAGTCGTAAATAAACACCGTGTCCGCTGTCGCCAGGTTAATTCCTGGTGATAAGGAGTGTTAGAAGTTCTATGAGTATGTAGTTTGTCAGCGTTTAATACACAAACGTTATGTAGCAAAACCAGACTTATAAGGTTGCTTTAAAAGTAGAATTTCAAAAGTTAAGCCAGCTATTTAAGCCAGCTATTTAAGGATAAAGCTTATCCTCTATGTTTTATAACTCCTTAGCAGGCTACTGCTCACTACACAGTCTTGAAATCCAACACGAACCTAATCCTCCAGCTCTTGTTGAAAGCAGGAAAACGAAACTCTGTGATTTAGGATTGTTAAACCGATCAATAGCTTCCTGCCTGTCTGCTCCGGTGATTGCACCGTCAATCCGCTCGAACTTGTATCCCAAGAAGTCCAAAAACTCCTGCGATCATATGAGTTAATTTTGGGATTTGTGAGGAAATGTACGTTGATAAATCTGTAAATGAACTCAAATAAAGAATTTTTCAAATAACTGACATACCTCTAGGATATCCAACATGATTCTCATCTGTGAGAATATCAGGACCCTGTGTCCTGTCTCCTTGAGTTTAGCCAACATTTTCTTGAGGAGGATGAGTTTACCAGACCCCTGGATCAGAGAGTTACCCTCGTATCCTCCGTACCTGTTTCTGGGAGCTGCCTGCAGGGAGAGGGACCATTGGTAAAACTATTTAGTAAACCATTAGTAAAACTATTTAGTAAACCATTAGTAAAACTATTTAGTAAACCATTCGTAAAACTATTTAGTAAACCATTAGTAAAACTATTGGGGGTAGTCAGAATTGGAAGAGTTAATAAAAGAGACATTAGTGATGATCGAACAGCAAAAATTGGCCTTAAGTAGAATCACCAAAAAGGATAATAGTACGGAAAAAGTTTGGGAAGTTTTGTTGTTTTCTTTATCACTCTCGAAACTGGTAATTGTATTATCCAGAAACTTACAGCAGCTCCAGCAGCAACCAGGTAAGCGTGGTTACTGCACTTCTTAAGTTCCATCATGATGTTTATCAGCGAGCAGTTTCCGTAACCTTTAGCCGTGAGTGCTTCGTAGTTTCTCGTCAATATCAACTTGTAGTATTTCCTAAAATAGGATGAAGGTTAATAAGCTTTGAGGGATCTCTCAAACTTTCAACCATATTTCTGGCTACTATCTACTGGCTACTATGTAGTTTAACAGAGAGGGTTTCGTGCCAAATGAACACTATGATGCGTGACTTACTTCTGTTCTTGTGAGAGCTCTACTCTGACCAAACACTCTGACTTAGCAGGGATGTCAGTCAACACATCTTGTTTCAGTCTTCTCAGAAGATGAGGAGACAGCAGATCGTGTAGTTTCTGTCAGGAGATGCAGATTTAGTTTAAATAATATGAGGCTGAATAGTTCAATACATGTTATTCAAATTATGTAGATTACAGAATAAAATTGGCTAGAAATAGTTGAACTGTCTGGTTACACTTTGTTTGTAGTGTGAATAATGAACCCCACCTGAACTTGCTCCTCTTTGCCGATATTATCGAACTGATTCTGGAAGTCCTCCAGGGAGTTGAAAGTTTTACTCTCCATGAAGTTCAGGAGATGGAAGAGCTCTTCTAGATTGTTCTGTAGAGGTGTTCCTGTGAGGAGGAGACGGTACTCTATAGGGTATGCTGTCAGTGTTCTGAAGTACTGAAAATAGAGGGTGTGAGAATGGGTAAATCTGAAATTAACAAATACTGTTAGCCATACTGGGAAAATATTAGAACTTTTGTAATGTTTAAGAATACCAGTACAGACTTCAGGATACAGAACCGATGTAGTTTAACAAATTTTCGGGTGTGTTCGGTTTAAAAATTGTAAAAACTAAGGAAAACTGATCTGTAAAACAAAGAGTCCAAGAAAATGTAAATTTACCAATGATCTGTTGTTTTTGAGTCTGTGAGCCTCGTCCACAACCAGAACACTCCACTCAATGGAGCTGAGACAGGAGTTGTCCACATTGATCAACTCGTAACTGGTGAGTAGCACATCAAACTTGAGTTGTGTTCCTTTCCGGACACGCTGGGCTTTGGTTGTGTTGCGGTGGAAGGCGTCCTCGCCGTACGAAAACTCGTGCTCTCTGTGATTTAAAGTTCTTGTTTAGTAAGAAGTAACAGTACTGCTATACACTATACAGTGGTATGTGCTGTGTGATTGGGGTCCAATTTCCAAACTTGGGGTCACAGTGAACAAGAATTCTTACACATACTCAAACTAGACGGAGAATGTACCTGATGATGGCCCTGTTCTCCTTGGTTCCCACATAAGTCAGAACGTAAAGATCAGGAGCCCAGAACTCGAACTCTCTCTCCCAATTCACAAGGGTAGATAAAGGAACTGAGATTAGGAAGGGAGCTGTGCAGTGACCCTGAAAATAATTTAGGCTATATATAGGTCTTGTTGACATTTCAAGTTATTGGATTGTGAAACTTTATGAAAGTTGTCAGGTTTGTCTTGCTATAACTTGTATAAAATAAGTAATACCCACTACATCTCCAGTCTGATAAGTACAGTGTACAGTAGTATATGTAATGTTGATGTAAATTTAAACATTTTGCAAGTATGTACAAAAGACACGCCTCAAGGGCTGTTACTATTCAGTGTGTTCAGTAATCACATACATGTTGATTCAAGCAGAAACATAACCCCGCCCCACCTCAACATACCCCTTATACCCTACCTCATTACCACCACCTTAGTTACATTATTAGCTTCCTCATTACACGCTAACGGGGCCTAATTAGTGAGAGTATGTGAGGCCTAATTAATAAGTGAGTGTAACAAATGTTTGAGTGTGACCGTGTGTGGTACAATGGAATGTAACTAGATAAAACAATGGTAAGATGTACTCATGTAACTTCATGAAATGGACTAGTAACTGCAGGTTGACGATGCGCTACATTTCCCTTTGTATTATTACACCCACATTACTTTACTATATTTCTAAAGTATGAGATTGTGAGAATATTCACGTGAGATTAATGCGAATATAATTAATAGTAGTTGAGGTTTGACCTGGTGCAACGATTAGACAGTAAATCTAGATAAATTGCATTTTTAAAATAAGAAGATTACAAAAGTGAGAGTTGAAAGAGTACCTCCATGATAAGAGAGTTGAGGAAGCAGATAGTTTGGATTGTTTTACCAAGTCCCATCTCATCAGCCAGAATGGTATTCCTCTCTTGACTCCAACAATGCCTGCAGGAAGATGACGCTGGTTATTTGGGTCATTATCCCACATTTCATCTCACCAAGTTTCGTCGGGGTGAAAGTGACCGGTCCCCGATGGTTTAATTTGGGCGTGTATTCACTGGATTGACCCAATTTATTTGGAAACAATTTGATGTGAATAGTATAATATGTTCACCAGATAAATGTAGCTATACATATTTATAATTATGGTATTTTAGAATAATGTTTCAGCTTGAGACTTATTATTAACGATTATTTTAAAGCTGCTTCTTAGATCCATGAAGTGGCTAGAAATACTAAAATCTTCTGTAAGCAAAATAAAACTGTAGAATATCACACACCTGAGCCAGTTGAGGCCTTCCAACTGATAAGGGTGAAGCTTGCCCCCAGTAATGTCTATATAAACGGGCTGCTTCTCGAATCTGGTACTAGGGTCGCCCTGGTAACGGGCATTTGTTTTCCCCGTTCTGATGCATCTGTACTTCTTGTCGTTCAGCTTCTTGAACTTCTTGTACTCCTCCATTGCTTCTTCTAGACCTGGGAACAAAGTATCAATATTAATTTATAGAGTAAACAGAAAGGGTTTGTCATTTGTGAGGTTAAGGTAAAATCATATTGTACATCGATCTGTTATGACTGAATCTTACTCGCGAAACAAGGCTAAAAGCATAATTACATATATGTAGTAATATTAATCTGTACATGGAGTCTATAATAAATAATACACACAGTTCCGGTATCCACCCAGCTATATCTATTCAATAAAACGTTTAAAGGATATATAAATAACATATATGACATATATATGAATAATAACATATATAAATAAGAAGTTGTTGTAGTTCGTACCGGGAACGTCCTCTCCCTCAGGTTCCCAGGTAGCGTACTCGTAGGAGAGGTCCCTCCACTTTACCAGGTGGATTGTGGGCGAGTTCTTGATGTTCCGCACTCGCAGCACTCTGTGCACTCGGAACCTGGCAGGTTTAGGGTGAGTTAAAATAGTTATACGTTACTTTTTAAAACTGTTTCATTTAATGTTTATAGCTGTTTATGGCTGACGTGCTAGCACAAATAGTAACATTACTGCAGCTATATGCTAAAAGCTCTAGGGTAATAGTAAGAGGTTCACTTTTCGAGATAAGCACTGCGAAGTTATTGGCTAAAAGTGTCAAGCCCGGGCTGTTGGATTAAAAGAAGGTTCTAGAAATGTTAGAAACGTACCAGGAGGGTGGTATTCCAGCGTTGATCATGAGTTTTACATTTGGGTCAGTGAACTCGCCAGTATCCTCAACTTCCTCCAATGTAGGAGGCACATCTTCACTCCTCCGGAGATAGTTCCTCAATTTGGAGTTGCAGAATACTTCCAGCTAAGGAAGAGAGTTAGGGTTACCGATAGCGGAGAATTTGTTATATCTTGTCAGACAAGTGATGGAAATTTGATATAAACATTACAGAAAAGAGTAAAAATGTATCAGGAATCTAGATCTGAGTATGGACATACCTGGACCTCCTGGACCCACTCACAGCGCCAGTAGCTGAGATTATGGAACTTAACCAAGTACTCGCGCTGCTGTTTTGCTTTCTTTTCTTTGCTATCCTTCTCCTCTGCCTCTTTGAACCTCCACGTTATGAAGGACTGCACTTTCCCGGTCAGGGGTGGACACTGTGCAATTCGTTTATAAATTGTTTATAAGTTCAGTTTATAGCTGTTTAGTAATAAGTATAATAAATAATAAATATAAGCTCATTCAGTTAGATTTAGCGTTTAAATTACCTAAAGAAATTAGTTTAGTTGCTCTTATCAATGTGTGGTAAAAACACAGGCAGTTGTTATCTCTGTCTCGATATTAAGGTTTCTGGGGAAATGATGAACACAGGACATGAAGATTTCGTGAGTTTCATATCAGATATCAGATAAACAGCCTCAATTACAGAGTTATAAAATGGTCTGTGAACCTACACAATCAGCTCTCATTAGATCATTATCTAGACTAGATGATACAGAAACTAGACCAGATGATACAGAAACTAGACCAGATGATACAGAAACTAGACCAGATGATACGGAGATATAACCACTGTTTGCTAAACCCAGGTGACACAATATCTGATAGCTTACACACTTTCCGCTTACTACCATTTACTTCGCTGTGGTTATCTGAGACTGATCCCTGAACCTTCAGAGCGTACTGTCATACAGTCTTAAAACTTTAAAAACAGGCCAATTAGGTCAGAGCTCCAGATCAGGTGAACTACTCCGGCCAATAAGAAGCGTTCACGTGACCTGTAGCAGCCAATAGGGAGCCAGCCCGTGACCTGCCGTAGCCAATGAGCAAACGACCTACTAATTATCTACACAGTGCTCAACACATATATACAAAATATATAATATGAATTAGATACCCTTATATGGAATAATCGAGGTAATGCTGTGTGCGTGTAACTGTGTATCTCTAGCTGTTCTATTCTAGATCCGTCTTTGTAAATTATAGGGAGGTTGCAAATGATATTTTAACAACCGGGCCATTTCAGGAAGTTATCTAAAACTTTACACAGATGGAAGAAAGTGCGAAGTAAGGTGAAATGTGTGGTCGATGACGTCAATCAAGTGTTATTTTGCAGAGAAATGTTTCAAAGTGGGGTAGACAAAGCATTGGTATACTATGCGGTAAACTGCGACATGTTTACTGGAGAGTGTACTGTTTTATTCTGGAACTATTCGATATACCAATCGAGTGAAATGGAACAAGGGATATTTTAAAAGTTATCTCGTGTTCCATATTATGGTTACAGATTACAGTACTACGAAATTCGGATTTCAGCCAGAATAATAGATGATGTTTCGATGTATTTTGAAATTAAGTTCATATCAAGAAGATGGTTAAAATCAAGGTAACTTATAGAAGTATAGTTGTATAATGTATAGTAGTGTAGTAAAGTAGTTTACTAGTTACTTACAGCACAACGCTCGCACTGCCACTTCCCGTTAGGAACCACCTCAAGTGGGGGGTTGGTGCACTGGAGATGGTAGGCACTGGTACAGTTCTCACAACATAGCAGTTCTCCTCCGTCCTTACCTGGGGGAGGAGGGAGGTTAGGTGAGGAGTAGAAGGGTTACATGGGTTAGATGAGGAGTAGAAGGGTTAGATGAGGGGTAGAGGGGTTACAGGGGTTAGATGAGGGGTTAAAAGACGGGTTAGCTAAGGGTTAGATGAGGGGTTTAAGGAGGACGGTAAATCATGGGTTCTTATTTGAGGAAATGATAAAATTAAAAAGTTCTGTATAAAACCCATGCAGTGAAAGGACCAACGTGCAAAAGCAGAGCCTGATTTTCTAACACTTATCAAACATACATAGCTTGACTACAAATAAATCCTCTATAACTGTAAATATTAGTTTGACTCACATCGTTTACAGAAGTCCACATGCTCGTCATCCTCCTCCTCCTCCGCAGCCGAGCTGCCATCTTCATCCTGCAGAGGGATATTATTAGTGTTTCAAGTAATGGTTACTGAAACCGGCTGGACAAAGAATATACTTTTTGAACTTTTGTCTGAACAATCGGTCACCTCTAAGCAGCATGCTCTAAAAAGAAAACAATATCAAATGCAAGTCGCTCAGTAGGAGGAAAGGGAGAGGCGGTTTGAAACTTACACATTTGCTACAGAACCATTCTCCGCCCGGAACAGCGTCCAGGTTAACACAGTCCGTGTGGAAGGCCCGGTTACAGGCGCTGCAAAGAAGGAGATCTCCACCCTGTTGACAGATCTCACAGATTTCTCCTACGTGTGTTTTCTGTGGAGGGAGGGTGTTAGGGGTAATGTTGGGTAGTGGGAGGGTAATGTTGGGTACAGGGGCCGGGGGTGAAGGGTAATGTAAAGTAGAGTATAAAAGGTAAAGTACATTTTCTATACATTCAAGAAAGCAAAATCGAGTTGAAATAGAAGATATTTTTGTACGGCAAAAAGGCAAACCTCAGCATCAGAAGCAGGGTCACTGATCTCCGACTCGGCTTTGCTGGCAAGAGACGGTCCTTCACTGTCTACACTCTCATTGTCTGATTGAGCACGAGAGTTTGCTCCGCTTCCGTTCTTACCGTTCTTACCCTTCAGCGATATCTTGATCCTAATAGGAGCAGGAGAGTTACCCTTAGCTCGGCTCGACTTCTCCTCAGCTGCTTTCAGTTTCTTCTCCTCTTTCTGCTGCTTCCTCTCTAGGAGGGTCAGAGTTTTCTTTAGTTTTGCTTTCCCGTGGTTGTTGCTCTTTCTCTTTTTAGGGGGGTCTGGGGCACTACGACGACCACGTCGCGGTTTGTCTTCGTCCGCGTAAATTTCATTCTCGTCTGGTATCCGATAAGTGGCAGGCTTCCTGAGATATCAAAGCGATAAAGTGCTATACTTAGCGTGGTTCGCTTCATAATAACGACTGGGCTTGATCATACCAAGAACTAGAATTGCTAATAGCCTTTGAAAGACGATTAATGTTGTGTAGTAACTCTTGATTAATGTTTCAACCTGCGAGTACGAGATGATCTGTCCAGAGGGGCGTCGGAAGCAGGGGAAGCTGCGGCTGAATCCGCGTTACTTGAGGCCGCCGTGAGTTCCTCCCACTTGGCTCGGACAATATCCCGGACCTCCTCTTTGCTGTAAACTCCAAGCTTGCTAACCATCGGCCGGGTCTGGAAGATTTCAGGTGTTAAAACACATTGCCTTAAAATTGCACAAAAATAACTTGAAAGAAATCGGTTATGATGGACTATAATTAACGCTATCTATCATTCGTTCGTTCGTGAAATTTGTGGTAAGGTCAACGAATAACTCACGGTAGACATGAAGCTTCTGAAGTTGGATTTGGAAACATCTTTTGGCCATTTGATTTTATTGAGGGCATCATTATCTGGGAAGTTTGACATGGACGAGTAATCTTTGTCTGATTTTTCTTCCTCTTTGTCTGATTTTTCTTCCTCTTTGTCTGATTTTTCTTCCTCTTGTTCCTCATCATCCTCCTCTTCTTCTTCTTCTTCTCCTTCTCCTTCTGCTTCTTCTTCATCTTCTTCCATCTCCTGGAAAGATACAGTAAGAAAGGGTTGATTTGTGAATACACAACCGAAAGGTGGAATTTATGTATCCGAGATAAATGGTAAATGCTTACTCGCTACTCAGAAAGATATACATGTTTATAGCAGTATTTAAACGACATGATAGCATAATTTTAAAGAGTAAAAACCTCGTCTTCGTTTTCACTCTTAGCTTTAGTTTCTTCTTCTTCCTCCTCCATTACTGAAATAATAATTACTTGAATGATCTTAAATAAATTCGATTCAGTTAGTCTTCAAAAACTGTTCAAACACGATGATGTAACACAACATGTCTGGGTTATATGATAAAACACGTTGAAAAGTAAAGAACTAAAGTAGCAGAATGATTCACATGGTGGTATACATTATACATACACTAAGCTGTTCCGTGCATGTCTACTCGTTTACATAAAATCCGTGTTCCTAGATTTTCGATAGAAAGCACCTTTATCGAGTTTAAAGCAAATTTACGCTAGTAATACTACGACCGACTTTACAACGTTTAACTTAAAAGCCTGACTTCAGAGCTTTGTTGCGACCCAGTGTTTAGCTAAGCAACAGTTATATCGAGAGAATAGTCAGGAATGAGGGATCAGGGCAGGGTATGAAACTTAATCGTGATTAAGTTTACTGTCAATATGTTGAAGGATTGCACTTTGTAGGCATTTAGATATAAGTTTCTACTAGCCTGAGATTTTAAAGACCCGAGAGCATGTCACTTTCGGGGCAATAATCTGGGCCAAGATTGAAAAATGAAATCTGGCCAAAGATTATATTAGAAGATTCGGTATCAAAGCTATCTCAAATAAAGGGCTAACATTACTATTACAATTATTTCAAAGTTGAGACGGAGTAAGCTGTCAGGTAATTGAGGCAAATTTCGACAACAAGGTGAAACGGAGCAGAAAGGATGATCAAATATGAGCAACAAACCTTCCATCTCTTGATCTCCACTCTCCGAGATTTGATCAGTCTGATCAACATCCATGGGATGCAGGTAGCGAACAAAGAAGTAAGAACGCTGTCAGTCGACAAAAAACTCGTTACAAAGCATGGACTGTGTGTGCGCTAATCCCCTGGCCATTGAATCGTAATAGGTTAGTCACATGACATGACGCGCGCCAATCACCCTACCGTATACACGCACGTGACCTAGACGATTGCAGGATGTTGCCCGTAGTACAAATGTTGCCCGTAGTACAACGCGTAAATGAAATGCAAATGTTGCCCGTAATACAAATCTTGTCAAATTATACCTCTAAAGGTAAGGCAGAAATTTAGCATTCCCACAAGCTCCACCGCCACTTATTTCGCTTGGGCCTAGGCTCCGATATCTATCTGAGATCAGAAACTGAGATACTGTTAACTGCAGTGTAACTGCCAACTGGAAGTCGGAAAAGTGGAAGTTCATTTTTTATATAACCTCGAGAAGAAGTGCTATTGAAGTACACACTGTTTACCATAAACACAGCCTACCAACTATTATACAATACATTAAATCAACTAGGGACGGGAGTTTCAGTAATATGATTCAAATCGCTCTTTATCGCTTAATGTACTTCTACGAAGTACATTCTAAGACCTAAGTGCTAAGCAACCCCGAAGGCCAACAGCGAAAGTAAGTTGAAATTAACAGAAATTCCGTACAACTTTCAACTATGTACCACTAGGAAGCAAAACCGGCCTAACCTCAATATTGCTATAGTAAAATCTTACCATCTTATTTTTTAAGTCAGCGAAATTGAAGCCGATTGCATTGAAAATTGACATTAATTTAGATCGGAAAATGTTTGGATATAGTCTCAGAATAGAAGTGTCTCAGAACATCAACGTCAAAGAGATGAACTGACAAGTCAACAGTTTTCTACATACTTGCTCTACAATATATTTTTGCATCCATTGACATATAATATTTAAGTCTCTACTGATAACTGATAAATATCGACAATTTATACTGTGCTGCGTCTACGATATCAAAAGTGTGGTTTTAAACGTGCGCGGCACGCACACTCCCGCGCTACTATATTGTGTGAACGTCGATGATAAAATTCAACTTTTATTAAACAAAGAACTTTTGCGCCATACATTTGAGACAACTTCTGATACATGTTTTTTGGCTTTATATGTCCGTGAACTGAGTGGGATTTGCTATGGTATGATAGAGGGGCATGTGTACTAAAATTTTCATTAAAATTCAAATTTTTTTGGCGCTTCGCGCCAAAGCCTGAACTTCAAAAAATTTTCGGGTAGCGTACAAAAATGTTGAACAATTAGTTAATTCATTTTTATTTCTAATTTTTAGTACTTTGTATAAGTTGACAAATGAAATATACTTGTTCGGGGTTGTTGACAAACAACTGTTAATAATTATAAATGGTAATCAAAATTCCAAAATGAACTAATTATATATTTACACATTTGTTTGGTTGTATTTTTAAGTGCTCCCTTATCAGTTATTTGTTGCTAAATCGCGATAAGCGAACGCGTGCTATTGTACATTTATTGTACATTGCTTGTATAAAACTCAAATAGTGTGTGTAACTGACATTTAAAGGTTCAATATGCAAGACAAGGAAAACCTGAAATCAGTAAGCGATGATGCTAAGAAACGTGTACTTGGAAGCCTACTTAACAAAGCTGATGCCCCCAGCAAGAAGGTTCTCAGTGTGTATAGTTTCAGTGCAAGTTATAAGACCAATCTGAAAGATATGAAATCACTCACCGCAGTTCAACTAGAACCCTGTGCAATATTTCTAGGTTTTAATGTCAGAGATGGTGTGAAGAAACTGTACACGAATAAACAGACTCTATGTGATAGAATGATTCTCAAGATCGAGTCCTTGTTCGACATAGAATGCGAGGACTGTAACGATGTGTACTGTAATGAACTGGGAAAAGAACCGCTCTTAAGATGCCGGCTATGCTTACAGGGCTCCCACGATTGTGAAGCCATGGCCGAAAAAGCCAAGACCTTCAACGACCTCATTCAGAAAGGACTGCTTCCTTTAGGAGGATCTTGGCTCTGCTACGAATGTTCAAAAAAGAACGAAACACGCTCACTTCAACCTACCCAGAAACCTACCAAGAAAAGGAACACAGATAGTATAACAGATCTATCCACTATTAAAGAGGTTGAATCTGAGGTAGAGGGCGAGGGAAACGACGATGAAGATGAAGATGAGGATGAGGATGAAGACAGGGAAAGCCCTAGAAGAGGTAGACATAATGATACCGAAAATAACCCCCAGATTTGCCGGGAATACACTATGAGGAACTGTCCCCACGGCCTCACTGGCAAACGTCTCATTGGTGGTAAGAAATGCTCATACCAGCACCCCATCAGGTGCCGCTTTTACTCCAATTTCGGAGACGACAAACGCAGAGGATGCAGGAATGGGAAGAAATGCACTTTTTTCCACCCTAAACTGTGCCGTAATTCAGTTGCGAATCACGTATGTTTAAACAGCGATTGTGGCTTCCATCATCTTAAAGGAACGGCCAGAAAGACTGTTGGAAACGTGAATCTCACTGACAGAAATCGCCTGCCTCAGCAGCAGCAGCCCAAAGATACGAGAAGAATAGAATTCAACACGAACAGAAGTTCCTGGCCGCCTCCTGGTGGTTATGATGTGGACAGAATGGGTAGTCTAAACTCCCTCAACACCCCCTACCCACCCACTGTTGAATATCAGAAACCCCTCAGACAACGTAAAGACAGTACATCTGAGAGGGATAGTGCTTTTTTAGAGAAGCTCATGGAAAACATGAAAAACGGAATTATAACCCAGATGAACTCCAAAATGGAGGAACTTCGAGGGCAAATTCCAGCCCTTGTCCAAGAGACACAACGGAGCCAGCTGGACCCGAGATCACGCCAAACATCCTCTCAGCAAATCTCGACACAGTTCCCACCACCAGCACAGTTCTCAGCCCAAGTGCCACTCCCAAACCAGCCAATGCGGATGCCGATGCCACTAAACTTCATTCCCAACTATCAAGGATCTTGCTACTGAATGCTCGGTCCATCTCCCCAGCCGCAACCAGCACTGTAAAATGGAAGATCCCATTCATCCAAGACCACATACTTGACGACCTAGGAAGACCCCCGGTCCCTATTCTCGCTATCACTGAATCATGGTTGAAGCCATATATCAGTGATGCTCAAATAGCTATAGATGGGTACAACAGTCTTAGAGCAGACCGTCATAGTCGAAAAGGTGGTGGTTGTGTGCTTTACGTTGAAAACTCGCTGCTAGTATCAGATACTGTAAATTTTAGTGACAAACACTGCAGTATGCTGCATTGTCTCATAGACTCTATGAACGCCCTTGTCTCCGTGATATACCGCCCACCAGATGCTCCTCCCGGATCCTTCAAAGCAGTCCTGGACCAGGTGCAGGAGAAACTAAATAACTTGACATCGAACGATAGATCACCTGACATCTACATTATGGGGGATTTCAACCTCCCAAATATAGATTGGGACTCTTGCCAAGCTTTACCTGGTCAACCGCTTTGTGACCAGCAAGCTTGTTCCGAACTAATTGATTTCATGGAGAGAAATTTCTTGACACAAATGATCTGTAAGCCCACGAGAAATAACAACACCATCGATCTCGTCCTCACAAATAAACCACAGGACACAGTTGAGACAAATATCTCCGAATGCCAACTATCTGACCACAGGCTAGTCGAGCTCGTTCTCGGACATAACCCGCTCTGCCCAAAAGAACATACTCCTATATCTTTCGACAGAAACTCTTTTCGGGCGACTGATTTTCATAGAGCAGATTTTGAAGCAATGAACGATCGTTTAGAAGCTGTTAACTGGATCTCTTTGAGAGAACTCTGTTATGAAGATGAAGATGGAAGTGCCTTTCTGGAGCTGATACGCCTAACTGTCCTCCAGATAACCCTCCTAAACTCGCCTTCTAAAGACCCTACTGGATCTGGCCCTCCCCGCCCCCGTAGAAGTCGCCAAGTCCGTGAAAAATACACAATGAAGAGGAAAAGAAGAAAACTCAATGCCCAAATAAGTGCACTTACTCAAAACAACCCAACTTCGAGAAAAATCGAAAAGCTGAAAACCGATGTGAATCTTCTGACCTTCGAAATAAGTGAACTTGTGATCAAGCAACTTAACGAAAAAGAAGTTAAAGCTGTAAGTACAATAAAGACGAACCCAAGATTCTTTTATTCTTACGCTAAACGATTTGCAAAGGTAAAATCATCCGTCGCCCCAATTAGAGATAAAAACGGAACTCTGAAAATGGACCCAGCGGAAAAAGCAGAAATTCTCCAGACTCAATATGTCACAGTCTTCAGCAACCCAAATTCTGCAAATGTTGAAGAATGCCTCGCCGGATTAGATCCTCATCCAAAAGAAGATCTCAACACATTCACCTTCACAGCAGACGACATATCAGATGCCATAAAGGAACTGGACCCGTATGCCTCCACCCCTGATGGTGACATCCCGGCCAAGATCCTAACTAAATGTCGAAGGACAATCGCTGAACCAATTTATCTACTCTGGAAACGCTCATTTGATAACGGAGTCATACCATCTGGCATGAAGACACAGTACATCACGCCTGTGTTCAAGAAAGGAGACCGAACATCTGCCGCTAACTATCGCCCTGTCTCGATAACCTCTCACATTATTAAGATATTTGAGAGAGTGGTCAGAAATCATCTTGTGGAACATATGGAGTCAAACAGCTTTCTCTCCCCCCATCAGCATGGATTCCGCAAGAAAAGAAGCTGCTTAACTCAACTAATAGACCACGTAGATAACATCCTGAAAACTCTCAACGACGGCAACGAGGTTGATGTTATATACCTTGATTATGCCAAAGCGTTCGATAAGGTAGATCATCAAATATTACTTGCAAAGGCAAAACGCTATGGAATAAAAGGAAAGACTCTGCAATGGCTGACTGAATTCCTGAAGGATCGCCTGCAAACTGTGGTCGTGGAAGGAAAAAAATCATCCTTTCAGCTAGTAATCAGTGGGGTACCCCAAGGAACAGTATTGGGACCCATTCTTTTCATTCTATACATTGACGACCAACTTGATACATTGGTTACCGCTCTGGGAAAGGTGTTTGCTGACGACACCAAGCTCATTGGAAAAATCATGGACTTAGCTACCAAAAGCCTACTTCAAGACGACCTCCTAAATGTAATCGCTTGGGCCCTGAAGAACAACATGCAACTAAATGAGGCCAAATTCGAAATATTGAATTACAGCTTGAACAATTCATTACTGTTAAGAGAATTGCCCTTCACCAGTCAATATTCCTGTTACAATTTAACAAATGGAAGAACTATTGACCCAGCCAAAACTGTGAGGGACCTAGGGGTTCTCCTGTCAAATGACTGCTCCTGGTCTTCTCACATACAGCAGATGGCTAAAACAGCAAGGACGATGACGTCATGGGTCCTTAGCGTATTCAGAGATAGGTCACGCTTCCTCATGCTCACACTCTACAAAACCATGGTGAGAAGCAAACTCGAATACTGCTGCCCGGTGTGGAACCCTGACAAGATCAGCGATATAGAAGCTATTGAAAGCATCCAACGACACTACACTCGTCGAATCAGTGGCTGCCAGAACCTTGATTACTGGGAACGCCTGCAGAACCTGAATCTTCTCTCATTACAGAGACGCAGAGAACGATACATCATAATCCATACATGGAAGATGATGAATGGATTAGCTCCGAACGACATCAACATGCAGTTCAAGGAAAGCTCCCGACACGGTGTAAAGGCCACTGTGCCTGCATTTAACAAAAAGGCACAATGCTCAATCTCGACCCATTATGAAAACTCTTTTGGAGTAAAAGCAGCCAAACTATGGAACCTGCTCCCCAAGGAAGTTAACACAATCCAAGTCTTGGAAACTTTCAAATCCTCCCTTGCTAAATTCCTGAAAGGCTTCCCGGACACCCCGCCCACAAAAGGATATACCGCCATCACAAATAATTCTCTTCTGGAATGGACTCTACAAAAAGATCTAAGCCAGGAGTGATTGGAGGACGTACTTGATACTGTTGTCCAGAAGCGATCCCTGCCGAACCTACCTAAAGTAACCTAAAGTAAGTAGAACAATTACAGAACTATCATTACAGAAACAAAAAAATTACAGAAAATGTGATTTTAAATAAATTATTATCAATAAATCTTTAAAACGGGTGGTTTACAGATCAGTTGGTCACAGTATATTTAACATATGTGTACACAATTAACATTAAACATAAAAATGGAATAAACTTAAAATGAAATGATACATCAATAAAAATAAACCGTTTGATACATGATATAAGAATAAAGAATCATTGAAAATAGTTATTCTGTTGAAATAAAAATCAAGGCATATCGAACAATTAACAACCAAACAGGAAACAACGATTGCCTGGCATGATACTTATTATATAATTATAATGCTCATAAGTTAAAAATGTTAATAATGTTAAATATAAATTACAATTTACCAAAAAATGCCTTCCTCCTGTCCCTCGCGATTGCCTCCTTATCAATTTATTAAGGTACGACTTGACACTTTCACACTGTTTTTTTTGTGAAACTTGGTTTCGAGATAGCAGTTGACCAACAAACAAGGACCGGTCACCAAACTTTTGAGGGGGTCCCGGACCCCAACCGCCAAACGGTGCCCGCGGGGCAGTCACGCCAATATTCGGTCCAAATTAGGCCCAATTTAGCCAAATACCCTAAACATGCCCAAAATCCAGATTTTAAGTGCTCTACTTGTAGCTAGTGGTCCCTTGAACTCGTATATGAATTTTCATCAAGATTGGACAAAAATGAATGAGTTATGAGCCAAAAACCATATGACCATATTTGGGCATACGCACCAAATTTGATCGATTTGGCCCATAAATTGGTCAAATATCAATATTTTAAAATAAAACCAACTTTATATGGAAGGTAAGCCTATACTACACATTATCTATGATTATCAGCTCAGTATCTACCTAACTGTGGATTCGGTGTTCAAATAATCGCAAAATATGAACAAAATCGCCCATATCTCAGTTCGCGATATTTGCAAAACTGATTTCGCTCAAAACAATAGAACTCAATAGGGTTTCAATATTTGTACATGAAATTTTCAGAATCAACGTAGAATCGCCGGGCTAAAGTAGTGGATGACCTTGCTGTACGGCAAGTTAAACAAGGATCTGAAACTACTAGGTTCCGTACAGACTCAACTCTGCACCCGTGTCAATATGTTCATTATTATATGCAAGCCTCTTGATTTATAATCACCGAGTCTAGTAATTGTTTGAGAGAGTTCTCTGGCAGTTACGAAACTCGAGAGACTGTGGGATACTGAAGGGAAAGGAAGCAGTTCTAACGAGCTCTTCTCAAACACAAGGATATATCTTGTGAACTCGGCTAGTATATATGAAACATTTGTCATGGAGTTGTAGAGGGAGTTATGTGCCTCGCCGGGCTAAAGTAGTGTATGACCTTGCTGTACGGCAAGTTAAACAAGGATCTGAAACTACTAGGTTCCGTACAGACTCAACTCTGCACCCGTGTCAATATGTTCATTTTTATATGCAAGCCTCTTGATTTATAATGCAATTCGCATTTCGACCTTAAGTTTTGGGACAGAATTATGAGTTAGGCCTTTAAAAAAATTTGGCGGCAAAATTCTGAATTTTGCATTGCAACCACCCCCCCCCCCTTCCCTTCAATGAATACTGGGAGCATAGCCAGCTGAATTCCAAGACGTTTGAGGTCCAGATCCCCACCAAACTGCTTAGTCAAATTGTCCCCAAACTCTGGATCTTCTCCATTTGCACAATTGATCACCAAATCCTCAATAGAACACAGGTAGCTCAGGGTAACGGAGCTGAACCTCTCCTTTATCTTTGAGCAGATGAGGTCAATCGCCTCAAGAAACTGTTGCCGGAAGTAGTGGAGTGGGGACTCCCAGGTATGGTCGGTGGCTGGTGCTCCACGAAGGTAGTCACCCATCTTCTTTTGCACGTGACGCCTCCTTGGAAGAGAAGGAGATCCCAGTCCCGAGGACTTAGCTGTCTCCTCAGCAGCGTCGTACAGCTGCTGGAAACTACTTCTCTTGATTTATGATCCCGGCCCGCAGACTCAATACAACTCTTGCATTAATGCCTTTAGCCTGCAGTTGACTTGCCATTTCTTCGATGGGGCAGAAGATGGCAAGGCACACATCGATTCCTAGCACACTCTCAAAATTCTCCATGCAGGAAAGCAGCCCTAGTGCAGCCTTTGCACCCTCAGAAGAACCACCTTGTGATCCGATATGGTCTAGAGTCTCCAACAGAGTGCCGTAATTGCTCTGAACGCTCTGCAGAGATGACGTCCTGCAGGTCCAACGGGTTGGACAGAGGGGTTTCGGGGACTGGAGGTTTGCATGAGTATCGTCACTGGACTGGACCTGTACAATGAGGGATGAGAGTGGCCGCCTCTTGTAGGACGAGGTTGGTGTTGTGGTTCAGACAATGAGTAAGCATGGCGTTCGGGTTCTTTGCGAGAATCCTGACACCGACTCCGCTGTGTGCCCCTTGAAGAACAGCTGCTCCGTCATAAGTCTGACCTCGGAGGGACTGAAAGTCTAGACTATGACTCAGAAAGACGGACTCGAGGATCGCAAGTAGACTCTCAGCATCTGTCTTGTCCGCCTGATGTAGTCCAAGGAGGTCTTCGACCTTCGTGGATCGTATAATCGTCCTCAACCCATCGCAGTACAATCGAAAGCTGTTCCACTCCAGATATGTTCCTAGTTTCATCAATGATAAGGCCATGATGTTTTGCTGATTTGATTCGAGTGAGGAGCATGTCGAGCGTCGAACGGTAGAGTAACTGGAGGATATCGTTGGTAATCTGAGGCGAGGTGTAGTTTCGGTCCAGTACTCTTTCAATCCCGTGACTTTAGGATATTGCTGAAGATTTCCTTCCGCCTCGTCCTTGTTACGCATGGGGATGTTAGCCCGAGCATGATGGATAACCGCGTCTATTTGTTCGAGTAAGCACCGTCTCATCCTGTCGTACATCTCTTGATTCGCCTTCGAGAAGATCTGTGTGATTGGTGTTCCGTATTTGAGGAGCCTCAGTTTGTCGCACGATTCTCTGTGAACCTCCGACTTCTGGTGAGTGTCTAGGTGTCTGATGCCATCTTTCCAGTCACTGAACCCAGATTTGAAGAAAGTGTCCTGCCCTCGGCCACCTTCACTGATCGCCACTAAATGTATACTGAGTGAATATCGACAAGTTTGGCAAAACGCCTTCTTGGCACTTTTACAGAGCACTAGCCATGGATAGGTCGTTAGCCATTCGGTAATAAAATTACGTTTGCGTTTCTTATCACCTTTGCCGTACTCTTTGAGTGTATCAGCCTTAGGAATATGTAGCCGGGTGGGATTTGCACTTTCCAACTGACAGCAGTTTAAACCGCAAGAACTAATTGTGGGCTTGACACCTGCAGTTGTAGTCACTCGATCACTATCAGGCTGAACATAAATAGTCTCGACAGAAGATTGACTTGACACAGGTTTAAAGAATGAAGTGATTCCAGCGGACTTGGGACGTTCTCTCTTTCTTGACATCTGTGATCTGACTAAGACTGATATTAATATTCGATTACCAATGCAACATACATATTATATGGTTACAATTTACGGAAAGCACCTAATAATTATCACGTAGCTTAGGACGTAGGACGTAAGTCAGATGACCAAATGAATAGTAAATATAGAAGCTTTCAACTTTTCTTAAATTAGTTAGACAATCGCAAAATTAGAAGCCTGGAATATTCTATATCGACTTGAAATAATGTACAACCGCCCACAAAACTAAACAAACTAAACACTTAAGTAAAGCTGATAAGCAGTGACTACAAATACTTATCAAACAAAAATGCACTTATCAGTTTTAAAACTGCTGTGTCCCATTACTGTAAAGTGTAAATTGATAACGCTAAAAAATCTCGTTAAATAGTGACGGTAAGTGGTAACACTGAAAGCATAATATTATCTCTTCTACATACCAGCTTAATCTGTAAACACGACCAAATGTATCAAATGAGATGCGCTGTTCAGTGTTCACAGTCAACTCATTACTCAAGCCTGGTGTAGAGTTATTTCTACAGGCTACAGCAGGAGTAAGCAATAGGCACTGAGAAGTGAGAGACCTATAACAGGCTACATCCTCGAAAGTCGAAACAAGTGACCACACTTGTGAGTTGTGAACCAATCTCTATCGAGGAAGTTTCAAAGCAAGTCTGTGATTTAAAGAACTAACGGACTTAGTTCGGTGCCCAACGAAAACATAGAGAGCCCTACGATACGGCTCTCTTATCTCCACATGAGTGATAAGACGAGGAGGGACACTGGCTAGTGGCTAAGAGTGCCAAACAGACTACGGAAGAGAACGAATGGAACCCGATGGTATCTTGGCCTGGCTATTTATAGGCAATGCGTGCTGAGATGCAGCCCGGGAGCGAATCAGAGTGCGGGATCGATATCACGTGATTATTTGAAAGCCAATAGAAACGCTCTATTTGTGTCATGTGACTTACAAACAGCGGCGCTTGACAGGGTTGTTCGCAAGCAGCCACTGTCTAGTACAGTGCTAATCACCGTCTGGCGTCTAGAGCTGAGTCACGTGATTGTCTAGAGTCCAGGATGGAGTCACGTGTGTAAGCTACCCTGAACACGTGACCTTCATATTCTGTCACAATCTTCAGTTAAACAAAAATTTGTTTCAAAATTCGTATATCGAGCTTCGAAAACCGAAAAAAATATTTTTGGCTCATAATGATCAGGGTAGCATGAAACATGAACAAAAGTAGTTTCCAAGAAAACTTTGAAAATTTTCGATCCGAGTCATTCTCGATACGTACCTCTGAAAGCAGAGCTCCCGAGGTCGGATTGCGAAGGGGAGGCCTGCCTTCCGAGATCGCATTACAAAGGGGAACCCTCGAGTCCAAAATCGTATATCGAACTTCGAAAACCGAAAAAAATATTTTTGGCTCAAAATTATCAGGGTAGCATGAAACATGAACAAAAGTAGTTTCTAGGAAAACTTTGAAAATTTTTGACTTAGACAATTTTTGGTCCTAGTCATTCCCGATACGTACCTCGGAAAGCAGAGCTCCCGCTTCCGAGGTCGGATTGCGAAGGGGAGGCCTGCCTTCCGAGATCGCATTATAAAGGGGAACCCTCGAGTCCAAAATCGTATATCGAACTTCGAAAACCGAAAAAAATATTTTTGGCTCATAATGATCAGGGTAGCATGAAACATGAACAAAAGTAGTTTCCAGGAAAACTTTAAACATTTTTGACTTAGAAAATTTTTGACTTGAAAATTTTTCGGGAAAAAGATTTTTTTTCCAAAAATTTTAGAAACCTAATTTAAAAAGTTGGCCCTTTTTGGCCCCTGGCCCAGATTTCATGGGGGGTCGATGGCCCCCCTGCCCCCTCACCGCTTCCTACACCCCTGCAAAAAGGGCTCTGGGGCAATGTTTAAATTTTGGTTTCAGATTAGTTGAGATTTTGGAACCACTTGAGACAAATTTGGAACCACACTTTTGTAGCCGTATTTATGCTTGTACTGACTTGGACCAGGGGAATATTTTGCACTTCTAAGTGGCTGTAAATGTTAGTACATGTGTCCCTCTACCATATCAGATAGATTCCAAATCAGTACAAGCATAAATACGGCTACAAAAGCCTTGTCTCACTTTTTTCTCAATTCTGTCTCATGGTTCCAAATTGGTTCCAAAATCTCGGATTCATGAACATCCACGAGTACATTAATTCAGAGTTGTCAGGCTATCGCCAGTCAATTACAAAAAATTGCTTGCCGAGTTCCAAAATCTCAGTCTCTGTGTTCAATTTATCATACCAAGCTATTGTACCTTGCCTAATTATTTATGTAAATAATTTGCATAGGTTTCTGACTTAGTAAACGATATTTAGACATGAGCTTTCCACGACCCAAATTTCAAAGTTTTTACTGAATTTTTCTTGAATGGTCATCTAACAAGGCCACTGAAGATGGCACAAGACACGATTGAGGTACTCAAAGTTCTATTCCCAAAAAAAAAAGCTTTGATAAACCGGCCCCCCAACCGAAATTTCGCGGTTTTGACTGAACGTTTGACCAGTGACCAATCAGTGAGGTCGGTGAGAGTGACACAAGTCGCCATGAAGATTGGAGGTATATTGTCTCGATTAAACTCATGGTTACTTTGTATCCTAAATATTTCATGCTGGTTTGTACCACTTCCTTGATTTATTATCCTTGATTTATTATCCAATCCTCGGGATTGTAGGCCTATTGCCAGGTGCTGGAGGAATATTATTGAAGATAATGTTCAATAATAGAACAATGGCAATCGAATATATCTGAAATGGTTGTACTGCTCGATATAAAATCACTCTGTAATTTAAAGGTTTGTCGTCCTAATAAAGGAGGTCGTGAAATCTCCGATCCCCGAAAGCCGACCCCTCACCCTAAATATAAAGGCAGAAATCCGGTATCGGGTCTGATTCACTTCAAATTTATTGTGAACTTGAAATAAGATCCCTCGTTATATAACAAATAACAAAAGCCGGGCGATTACAGAGGATGCATATTTATTCATTGTCGTAAGTTGCAAGTCGTAAGTCGTAAGTCGTAAGTTGTTAGGTGATATGAATGGGTCACAATCCCATGATTGACCGTATCTTTAATTTGTCTAGTTTCTTTAGCTAATATATGTCTTTCCACACAAGAACCACAATATAGTTACTGACAACTAGCAAAACAACTCTGCAAATTATGTCAACAACTTTTCCTTCAAGATTTTAGTATTTTGCCTTTTCCCGAAAAGTAGGAAGTTCAATATTCATTATTCATCCTGATTAAATAAAGGAACAATTTACAAACAACTCTTTTACATTTCACTACAGTGCACATCGTAAGTTTTTTTGCAAATTTGTGACCTGTTTGTTTATTTTTCTGTAGATTCTGCTACTTAAAAAATTTGTTAACCTAATATATAACTCTCCTAGAAAATGCTCCTCATAGTTGTTATACTCTTGCCGATGATCAGTAGCTATAACATAGACACTGAGAAGTACGTGGTACTGGACGGGGAGTTGGGAGAGTTTGGATTCAGTCTAGCTACTTCCTCAGATATGATATTTGTTGGTGCTCCTAAAGATAACAAACTAAGAGGATCTCTTTACATGTGTCCTCTTGGAGGTATTTCTATATTTTTTGTAGGTATTTGTATAACTTTTTTCTCTACAAATTCGATGCTATGAACCGTTAAATATTCGAACTGGAAGTCGATTAAATGAGGTTTTTGCGTGAAATCAAAACAGCTTTATGTTCAAAACTTTATACGTACAATGTACATTCCCCCTTTAGGTTTAAAGAAAGGCACGGCGACACACACCGTCAGCAAGACAGACAAATGCACAGAGTATCCCAACATTCCTCAACCTGACGACACAGATGATACAACTGTAACAAATCAGGGTCTGGGAGAGACTGTAACACTAGACCGAGATAGGAAAAAGCTTGTAATCTGTGCTCCTCGTTACAAGTCACGTGACTTCTCTTTCTGTGAGATGAGTGATCAAGAGAGGCTGACTAACGTTAGAGGAGTATGCTATGAAATAGATATTGATAACAATGATGTTTTGTTGAAAACCCATGATTATTGCAGGGGATCAAGTGCGTGGCAGAGTGTCAAGGAAGTAGACGGAGGAATTGAGTTACAAGCTTTTCAGAATGACAATGTTTGTCTTCAACTAAGACACGCTAGTAGTTCTGAAATTGATGACAAACTAGTGTTTCATCGAGAAGATGGTGGTAAAAAGGTACTCGCTATAAAATACAGTTTCGAGAAGGAACTGTTTGAGCTGACCCTTGGTTCACAAGACTCTGTAGAAGTCAGTTGTGAACCAAACAGCCTTGCCATAGGTCTCCTTGTAGGTGATAAACTGAGATTTTACTGCAACGGTAAGAGAGCATCACAAGACTTTGACCTGAGTTTAGGAGGATCTTTACAAAAGACGACGTTAGAGGGACCCTCAGAATACTGGGTAGAAGGTTTCAAAAGCTTCACACTTTTAACGAACCACAAAAATAAACTCCTGAATCTAGATACCTGCATGCTCGGATACTCAGCCAGATTCGATCCTGATAATATTCTAGTCTTATCAGCTCCCGGTTACAATAGATATAAATATCCTGGAAGTTACGGTGGGTCCCTATTCTTTGGAGAAGATTTCATGGAAGAGTTAAGTAATGGTGATGACGTTGAACAGATTACTGAGAAAGGGTTGATGTTTCGATCTTTACGATTTGGTTCCACATATTGGGCGGTAATATCTGGTGTCTCAAGAGAAAAATCAGCTCCTAATCGTGGTGTAATGATATTAAGGAACAAACTTTTCCACAGTTTAATTTCGGATGAAACTCCTCTGACAGGATTTGGGGCGGCTTTGTTGCTCTGGAAAAGTGAGACCATCCTTCAACTTGTTGTTTCTGCTCCTTTCTCCACTTACGATGATCAACTCGACTGTGGGGTTGTGTATATCTACACCTTTCA